ATTGTAAAATGACTGTAACTCAATTAAAAAATGTTAAAAAAAAAGAACCCTCATAGAGGACATCAAGGGAGAATATAATCAAGCGTTAAGTAGATCAGATAAACGTCAGACAATTAACTACGAATATTGAGCCCAGTTGTGTAGATTTTATGCTGCCCATTAAGTAACAGTCTCAGGAAAATTGTTGCTGGCAGGATAAGCAGACAAAGTGGGAAACAGATGGTTTCACCCAAGTCACCGTCAGTGATCCTGGTCTCTGCCCTCTACCCCTCTGCTTCCCTCCTCACCTCACCCTATGTGGTTCCAGATACTGGAGCCTTTGGTGGCAAAGAGGTGATGGCAGTGAGAAAGGGCTGTGGATCCCAGGCTTCAGGGGTTTGGAGAGAAGAAAGGGAAACGACATTTATTATCCAGTCCTGAGTTTCTTATCAGTGGGTTCAAGTGTATGAAATTTTGGTCCCCTCAGCTGTCCGGGAATCTGGGCAGCACTTGGAGTCACCAAAGGCCCCAGCCAGTTGTCTTGGGCACCAAGACATTCAGACAGCCCATCATTTGAATAGTATTTTCTAAGTGTGTCAGAACACGAACAGAGTTGGAAAGAAGTAATGACCTTTTGATCCAGAGGCCCCCAAAATACTTAAAACCACTGAAACAGAGAAGAGACGGAATTCTGATGAAGATAAAAGATGACGTAATTTCAGGGCTGAGGGTCCTCTTCGCACCCATCCCCAAGCTCCCCTGCCCTCAGCTCTGCAGTTTTGAGGCAAGAGATGAAAAATATGCACATATGGAAATCAAAATGCAAGTATCTGTTTCAGCCTTTTCTCCTGGGAGCCAGAAAGAGAGAGAAGCTGCGAAAAACAGCAAAGCCAAGCCCCAGAGTCACAAGGGATTTGATGGAGAAGGAAGAGTGAACAAAATTTGGAAGCCTGGAGACCCTGGGAGCACACCGTACTGTCTGTCTGGACTCCTCACCCCCGGGGTGTGCGTCACCCGTGGCCAGCCTCAGGAGGACCCCTGATCTTTGTCCTTAAGACCCCAGACAGGCAAAGCCAGGTGAGATTGCTGGGCCCAAGAGAGATCAAGGGACTTTGTGAAGAAGGGGGCCGAGCCGGAGCTCTGAGTGATGGGTGGGAGGAAGCCAGGTGGGTGAAAGAAGGGTGAGGCTATTCTCACCAGGATATGGTGACCCCTGGCTCCCCCGAGCTGGTCCGAAGGGTGGTAAATCAGACTTTCAACTCACTTATAAGGCCGGATATTGCTGTGTTCCTTCCAGCACTTCATATGACAGATACTAACTAATGCGGAGGTGGAGCAATCCCGCTGGCCTAACAGCAGTCATGATCATGGAACTGGGAACTGATCACATTCAGTGAGCACTTAGCACAGTTAGGACCTGTGATGAGTGCTTCACATTATATTTCAGTTAATCTCCACAGTAATCCAATGGGCTAGGGCCCTCATGAAGCCCATTGTACAGATGAGAAAACCAAGGCCTCTCAGCAAGGAAGTGGTAAAACTGGAGTAAGATCACAGGTACCCAAAGCAAGAGCAAGCTTGCGGGTAGTAGGGGAAAAAGAAGGAACTAGCTAGGGAGATACGGGGGCCAAGGACATGTGTGTGCCAACTCCACCCGCTCTCTAGGATCCAGGTAGGAAAGAAGGAGAGTCACTTGTCCCCTCTCCATGAAAACAAAAGCAGCCCCTCCAAAAAAGTTCGAGAATGGCGTTGGACGGACAGGTCCGTGGAGGAGAGTGGATTCGATCATCACCTGTTAGGTTCGTGTCTGCAATGATAACTTCATCCACGTAGAACGCGCCCGTCCCCGGAGACACAGGGAGGAGGTCAATCCCATGAACAAGCACGGGGCAGTTTGCTGGAGGCGGCTGGAGACACGCGGGGTCATGCACGCAGGTCCCGCGGAGGTCAGTGCAGGCGAACTCCCAGCTGCAAACAAGCACAGACGGTCTCCCGGGAGCACTGCCCCATCCTCTCCAACCTGCAGCCTGAGAACCACACAGCCAGGAGACCCCAGTCGTCCCGCACACAACGGTGCACACCCCCATCCAAGATGGGCTCAGCTCAGCGTGGGGATCACGGCAGGGAGTCACGTTTCCCCTCCCCCCACCCATCATGACACTCGCTTTCAGCAGTACTTTCAAAATCATTGTGCGTCTTTAGCAGATCACATGTTGGGCTCTAAGCGCAGAGACGATTAATACTCTTGGACATTACCAGACTTATTTCAGTTTAAAACCGCTTACAAAAGCCCCTAAGAGATGTGGAAAGAGAGCCGAATCAAGGGCTCAAGATGCCTGAATTGCATTCTAGCATCTCTGTCCTCTCGCTGAATGAATGTTGGTGCGTCACAAATTCTCCAGGCCCCAATTTTTCTCGTAATGTCATGTAACGTCATGGAATTGTTCCCTGAAATCTCTTCCAAACCTGATGGTCTACGATTCTGTCCCTGGGAGGAAAGGCAGACTCCTTCTGGGGAGTATTGGACTTGTAACAACCGACGGCTCTTAAATCAAACCTCTTTGCCCAATGAAACGTGTTCAGAGGTGAAGCTGGTACCCGAGGCCTCAGTCTGGGAGACAGTTAGTACATCCTAGGGGCCACTGTCCCCAGGAGAGCTAATCATCCCGGCTGGCAGACTTCCCACCACACCTGCCCCCAGACTGGCTACCTGATGGGACTGGTCCCCACAAGTCTCCAGTCACAGGTGGTGTTCTTCTGAACGGTGTTTCCAAAGCCGATTGTGAAGGACACGGTCACCCTCAGGATCGCATCCACGTGGCCCCTGTACGCAAGGCACAGCTAGAGACACCAAATCAGTGCTTCAGCTCTGTCACTGAGACGCAGCCATTCCGCCTCCCTAGAACCTGCCTCCCACTCTGAGACACAAGTCGGCCCCGTTCCTGCCCTCCTGGAGCTTACCAGTCTAGCCGCAGAGACACGTCGTTGAGAGTAAATTGTTATTTCTCCAACAAAGGGCTATTAAATGCCTAGCACGGTGCGTGGCAGTGAGGATGTAGAGCCTCTCAGTTAGAAACCCCTGTGGTGATCCAGCTAGCTGTGCAACCTTGAGCTAGTCACTTAACCTCTCTGAGCCTCATTCCTTAACTCCCCGCCAGCCTGGGTTTCTAATGCTGAGTTAAGCCAGATTGTTTGGCACGCAAAGACTTTCCAGCAGGATTTTTCAGCTTCGGCACAGTTGGCATGGAGACTGGATGATGCTGTTCTGTGAGGGGCTGTCCTGTGTGTTGTAGGATGTTTTGCAACATTCTTAGAAACTTCCCACTGGATGCCAGTAGCACTTGCCCAGTGGTGACGACGAAAAAGGTCTCCAAACATTACTAACTCTCCCCTAGGGGGCAAAACTCCCCTTCCCACCCCTGTTGGAAGCCTGTGCTGTAGAGGAAAGGCCAGAAGATGGTGCCCCGACCTGAACCGTTTATACCCGACTCCCCCATTCAACTAGGAAAGGACTTGAAACCACTGTCATGAGCTCAGCCACCCCAGGAAGGCTCACTCTGGTTCCCAAAGGACAAGGGAGCCATGCCCTCTTATGAAGGATGGCAGTGCTACTGACACGAAGGCTCTAAGAGGTGATGAAGGGGTGTGTCTGTCAGTAATAACCAATAATAACGAAAGCTGTAACAAGCAGTAACAACGGTCCTGGAACGACCCCGAGCCACTGCCCAGGCGCTCTGCTAGTTGATCTCATTTATTCTTCACCCAAATCCTGAGGGGCGGACCACATCATCACCCACCCCCGAGACGAGTACACTCAAGTAAGACTGGAGGGCGTGCACTGTACAGAGTCAGGATTCAAACCCAGAGAGTCTGACCGTAGAGTCTGCACTCACACCTGGAGAGCCAGAAAAATCCTATAGCGCGTACAAAACCTGCCGTAGGTCTCAGCTAATAACACAAAGGCATTTCCACGGAGCAGCTCCCTCACGGAGGACCAGAGGTGTGTGTTCACACCTGAGACGGCAGTTTAGAGATAGTGTGAGACGCCTTGGGCGGGTCACAGCACTTCCTGCTTTGTGCTTCTGCATCTTCAGTCTCAACCCCGGGGAGTAACTGCGACCCCTCCCTCCCCATCCGTCCCAGAAGCAGGGGGCTGCTACTCACGTGTGTGTACCGGTCCAGCCGGTAGCCCTTCTGGGCAGCCGGGGGTGTGAGGACAAGGTGTCGAGGCCGATAGAGGCTGAACCTCCCACAGAAGGGCTCTGTCCCACTGGCGAGGTGCCCATCAAAGCTGGAACCTTCTGGGCCTGGACGCAGTTCAGATAAGACAGGAAGACAGGCGTGGATGTTAACAAGAGCCTCCCGACACGTCTGCAGGGGACGGGTTACGGGTTTGCCGTGACATTGGCCCCTCAGCCCTTGGGCGAGCAGGGCGGGGCTCTGGGGGCCAGCACCCCCCAGCTCGGACAGTCTCGAGACTCTGTGACCATTTTCCATGTGGACTGTGACACAGAAAACTACTGAGAAGCAAAGAGGTAAAAAAAGTGTTGACTGTAACTTAGTTCGCCTTAGCATTTTATAAACACCCTCACATTTTAAGAATCCGTTAGACTACGGTCTGATGTCACAATGCCTGTATCTGAGAGGCGATTTGAATTAAACAAGATTTGCCTTGTGTTGCTGTCTCCCTCCTGTATCTGTTGCCCTTCTCCCCCCGTGGAGCATGAGACACAGTTCCTGATGCTAAGTGCCCAGCATCCTTGGTCTCTAAGTCTCTTTCTCTGATTCCCACACCAAGCAGCTCCCTCCCAAGCACACAGCCCCTCCCTTGGACACTCTGTGTCCAAATCCAGTTTCCAGGCCTTCATTTGACTCTGAACGGAGTCAGAAGGAGAAGAAATGAAGACTCGCCCTATGTTACAGAGACAAAAGAGAGAGAGAGACAAGGATGCAAGAAAAGGGTGAGAATTTGTCAAACCAGGGACGGCACCTTGCTCGAATCCCAGCCGGAGCAGTATGTTTGCCGAAAGGGGGTCCAGTTCGCACTTGACTGCAAGTAACCCCTCAATGGCTGCTTGAATCTGTTAAAAAGGAAGACTGCCAGAGTTCACACCCTGGGCATCAAGGCCACCCCTCGTTCCCCCGCCCCTCCCTGTCTGAGGAAGGTTCCCACCTGATGGGCTGTGGCATTTGCCGGGATTGGCCGGCTAGAGACATCGTCCCACGTGAGGAGGAAGTGCCCTGCGCCAGACACGGTCAGCATCTACCAAGTCAAGAATCACCAGATTAAACAACGTGTTCACTGAACCAGAGAGGCGACCTAGGAACACAAGACATACTCCCCCGGTTTGGTGTTTCCTTTTCATTTTAATCTCAATTTTTTTTAACTCACTATCATCTAGAACTATCTGGAGAACACAAGTGTTATCCAGCAATGAAGACATTTCTCAGGATATCCCTATCTCCCTGCTGATGCACGTCCCCCTCCTTCTCTTAAATGTCGCCATCGAAGGGCCCACGTTCGGCCCTTCTGGATGAGTTCCCTCCCGGGGGGAGGGGATGGCCTGGGAGGCAGAAGTAGCCACAAGCAAGTCACACTCTCCGAGAGGCCGATTCAGTCTCTGCTTTGCTTCCCTGCTGGGCACATCGCGCTTGTATAATGAACTCAGACCATCTTACACCTCGTGTTGTTTTCCACTTGGTTCTGTGGTTCTTCGTGTGTTTTACTAGTAGACTGTCAGCTTTAAGAGGCACGTCTATATTGACTCACGCTTGTACACCCAAAAATTGAACCAAAAAAAAAAGTATGCCACACACGACATTGTAAATCAACTATCCTTCAATTAAAAAAAAGTACACCAAATTTGTTCAACCAAAATATGGGGTACAACCGAGAGAACTAAAGGCCTTGACCTTGGCTGAGAGGACACAGTACATGGGGAAACAGGACTCAGAAAGCTGCAGTCTTGTGGGCGGGCACTCACATGCAAGCTCACACGGGTGTGGGTGCTGGGAAAACCTTATCTCCACTCTGGGGAATACGTTCCCAAAGGCAGATTTACCAGGAACTAAATTCCTGAAACTAAGTCCACGAGTAAGGTCATCTCCACGATAAGACTGCATTTTTTAAAAAGTCATCACTACCCTACTGGAGGGACATCCCATCTCTTTGGCAGCAGTTATCATCACGGCTCAAGCCTCCTGGCCCCGAGCCAGCCATCCCTCCACTAGGCAGGACTATAACTCCTTGCAGAGTTCAGCCCCGGAACCCAACCCCACGGGACAGGGAAGACATGCAGACCTGGATGTCCGGAAGCCTCTGGGCCCGGGCTCGGACCTGGTGCTTCTCCCGGAGGTAGGTGCTGACCGCCTGGGGACTCAGCCAGGTGTTGTGGATCTGGACCCCGATCCTCACGCCCCTGCTGGGAGCTCTCCCTCGGTGCTCCGCTTCCAGGTAGTACCTGGCTCCCCCGGGCAGCTCCAGCTTGGGCGTCTTCTGTTGCCAGATCTCTTCACTGCCACTCTGCTCCCAGGAGTCAAACCAGTCGGCGGTGCCCACCCTGAGGGAGGCCACTTTCACCTGTGCCCCGATAAGCACATCGTGACCGGCTCTGTGGGGCTTCTGGGCCTCTCTCAAACAGCAAGTGTCTGGATCTCGACGGTTACTAACGAGGGATGTGGGGGCGGTCTGCCTCTTCCAACACGTCAGCCCCATCACACTAGGACCTGGGCTGGTGTACGCTTCTCCAGGCCTCCTTCTCGCTCTCTGTCTCAATTAAATAGTATTCAGACGAGGCTGGAGGGACCATGCTTAGGGCAGAAACAGCCAACCTGAAACCCCAGGTTTCCGTGATGCTGTGGCTAAGGTTGTAAGAAGCCCTTTGGGAGACCTATTATGACTTGACCACATCAAAGTCTGTGAGTTTCTCCAGCCAACTAGCAAAGCAAGTTCACAGAAGCATATTTGAGAAAAAAATATGGCGGTCCTTTGTCAACGGCGCTAGTTAGTTGGGACTGTTGGTTAAAACACCTTTTCTTATCCTTCAAGTCTGAACAGAAAACTCCTGCATATAACTGGCTACATTCCTACCTAAAATTAGTGGAAAAGGCACAAGCTTGGGAGTCAGACAAATCTGGGTTTGAGTTCTAAATATGCCCCTTATTATCCCAGTGGCCCTAGATTGGCCACACAATCCTCCGAAGGCTCATTGTCCTTATCTGGAAAAACGGAGATAAACAGACGTAGCTCACAAGATGCTGTGAAGACTCGAGACCAGGCATATAAAAGCTGTGGCATTGTGCCCAGCTTATGGTAAGTGCTCACCAAACGTGCCAACCCATTCAGCCAAGCCCTTTTTCAACAATTAAAATCATGTCAATTATATCTCAATTTTTTAATAAAAAATAAACTCCACCCCCACCCCACCCCCACACCCCAAAAAATCACAAATTAAAATTCCCGGTTGCTTAATGGCATGCTACAACTGTCAAAGAACATGAGAGCTTCTGTTCTGTTTTGTTCTGTTTTTTCAGGGGTAAAGGGCTGGGGACAAGGACAGTGAGAGTGGGGGCAATACCTTGGTCCTCGGGTCCTCCGACCGGCTGAAATACAGGGAAGCCTGGTGGTCGGCCTGGAGCCAGAACGTGTAATTATTTGTCTCTGGGGCCGCAAAGAACCCACGGAGCCGTGCTCTGTAAAACAGAGGAGCAGAGAGAAAGAAGCGAGAGCCACTGAGCCCGGAACCCCCGACCCAGCAAATGGTTGCCCTTGGACTTGGCTTGTCTTCATGGTAACGAGGAGGAAACCCTTGACTCTTGTGTGTTGTGATGGGCCAGAGCCCTCTGGACACAGCTTCTCCTGCGGTGCCTGCCTGACCCTTAGCCTCAGCCCACCTCTCTGCACTGGCACAACTCCCGGGCGGTCCTGGCTTCTTTGGGAAAGTTGTAGCCGCAGCACAGGGTGGCCTGGCGGCTTAGCAGAGATCCCTTGACCAATCTTGTTGTGGCTGATTTGGTGGCTGTTTTAAAATTTCCCCTAGGAGTCTCACTGCTTCCTTATCTGTCTCCTGGTCCCACCTCGGCCAATAAAGACACTGGTGATATGGGCCCCCCTTCTCCTGAAGCATACCTGAAAGGCTGCCCTTCCTGTGACCAAAATCCAGATGGAGAGCTGGCATTAGGGACAATCTGCCATCGGTACCCGGGGGTGGCTTGAGTCAGGTCCACGCCCTCTGCAGCATCTCCAACTTCAAAAAGAAGCCCTCGATTGCCTGTAAGACAATGGCACCTCACTAACACCAGAGGGCGTCTCCCCCCTAAGCGGGGGGTGGGGGGCGGCTTTACTTGAGATTACAGAGTGGAGATGACCCACAGGTTTTCTAGAAGGTGACACAGCGGAGACCCAGGTAACGTAGCCATGTAAGACGTTCTATAGACAACACAAAAGTTCTGGAAAGTGGAAATTGCTGCTGGGTGTAGGAGTTGGCCTCTTGGAAAGAGAGACAGCCAGCAACAGTAAGGGGGAATATTCTTGGAGAACCAGAGAAGACTGAAGAGCTCTTTTTCTTTTTCTTTTTAATTGAAGTAGGGAACTCTTTAATGGGAGTGTCTGGATACAAGGAGATGTGGAAAAGCAAACGAAGGTTCGTGAAGCCAGGAGTGGACTTCAGTGTCTTTTAACGCCCAGTTCAGGCTGGGAATTCCTTTCCCTAAATCCTCCCCACCCTTTTCCAGGAAATTGGCAATCCTTACGTTTTTCGCGTGTCATGGCCTCAATTTGTGGACACAGAGCAAACTAGGTGGCCCGCTGCTATGACGCCACATTCTAAATGGCACTGTCCTTACTCAGCTGTGCTTTATACCAAACAAAACCTGAGACCAAAAGCGTACGTGCGATCCATACCGGATACTAACTTGGGTGGATGGTAAGAGCTCGGGAGTCACACGTCTGTGGGTTCCAGGTCCAGCTCCGCCACTTACTACCCGGGTAGCTTTGAGCAGATTGCTTCATGTCTTTGGTTTCTTAGGCATCGAAAGGGGGCCAATAGTAAACAGAGATACGGCACTGAGACTAAGGGAGCTTGAGCTACACATCAGTTACATCTCAGTAAATCTGGAGGAGAAATAGAGTCAAGCTGACAACTGGGGAGAAAAAAACTAAGGGAGCTCAAAATATATACACAAAGGGCATGAAATACAATAAAGGACAGCTAGGGTTGTTATTATTATTTTAAACGACTATTGTTATTCCTCAATAAACCCTAAAAAAGAGGAAACAGATGAGGAATAATCAGGAAAATAAGAGCATATTTAAGCACTGTTTGAGGCTTCTCAGCCTCAGCAGTCCTGACATTTGGGGCCTGGTAACTCCTGTCAGGGCTGCCCTTGCCTCGAGGGATGTTTCGCTGCACCCCCAGCCTCGACCCACTAGAGGGCAGTAGCACCACCACCAAGGATCAAACACTGCCCAGCGTCCCCTGGGGACCGTTGAGGACCACTGCCTTACATAATCGTCTGATCCTCTTCCACAGAAGACATTTCAAAAGTGCTTCATAAAGATAACTGTCAAGAACAGCCACATTCTGGAAACTATCCGACCACTGCCCAAGTAGCTAAAGCAGGAACCACCACCGAGGGTGCAGCCTGTTTCCTGACTCAGGGAATGCGTCTTCTTCATCATTTGCTTTAGTAGCTTTGTTTCCCTGGAGGTGAGCTTTCCCTCAGTAAAAACTGCAACTCGGGGAACTGGAAAGTGCTCGGCCAAGGCTTTGTGTGCATTTCACACCGGACTGGCCTTTCTTTACAAAGCTTTCTCCCCCGCTGGGCTTTACAAGATAGGACTACAGACAAGCCGCCTGTGGTTCCAGGCTGCCCAAGACGCCAACCTTAACTACGCCTGAGGGCCTGTTCTAACGCCTCCCAGAAAAGTGCCCCCGCAGTGCACTTGCATTTGCAGCCGTGGGTGGAAGCTTTAAATACAGAAGGACAGGTGGGACCTGCCACTTGCCCCATTCCTGCCCACTTCAGGAGTAACCTGGTGGCCACGTCCCTGCTTCTCAGAGTATCAGACAGCTGCCCACAGGGAAGAGGACAACATTTAAATGCACCTGCTGTGCCCCACTCTCCACCTAGTCTATGAGCACAGAAGACACCTTCTGATGCCCCGTCTTCTTAGAAGACAGCAGGGGAGTGGGCAACTGACCCACAGGATGGAGGAGGAGGCTCAGGAGTTTCCACCAGTCGCTATAGCAATGTCTTCTGCTTCCTGGACCATGGTTTCCACTGAACCTCACCGGCCATGCAGCTGGCCAGGGGCTAGGACTGCAGGGTGTTGCCAAGCATCTGAGTAAAGCTAAAAGCTTTTCTGAAATGAAAGCCCCAACCCAGGACCCAGGGCTCACTGAGCAACCAGTCAAACAGCTGAGACCAAATTCAAACACTTTCGTTTCTGCTTCCCAGCCCCTCGTGGTTAAAAATGTCACAGGATGTCGCAGAACAGCTGTGGCGACTTCCTTACCTGCCTGAGGAGCAGAGAGCCGGGCACCTGTTCCCGGAGCCCTGGTGGTGCACTCAATCCTCCTGGGAGACACGTGTCTGACGTCACACGGAATTCCTGAGAAGGATGTCCAAATCAGATACAGATGTCAACATGGGTATCGATGGAGATACTGATGGCGAGGCAGGACCTGAGGACCACCCTGGAGCACACAGGCTCCGGTTCTAAGGCAAAGGGCCAGAAGTGGAGAATAGAGCAGAAGCCGTCATCTCCACAGAAGGAGGCGGGGAAAGGGAATGGGCGGGGCGGTGGGCACAGGGCGCCACAGAGTAACCAGAAGGGAAGCAGCGCGGTGCAACGCCGCTCACTGAAGATGGGCTGCACCGCAGCTGAGTGGGGAGGGCAGTGTGGCGGGAGAGCGTGAGGACATTTTCCTGCATCCTCTGCGTCACCAACCAGAGGAGCATCCCCCCTGGCGGAACAAAAGGATTTGCCCAGGGGGCATTCCAGAACAATCCGCGTAGCAGTGCCCGCCCACTCCGGCTTGTTCCTATGAGGACAATGGGGGAGGGACGGGGGTGGCCTTTCAGTCCGAGGAAACCCTGGTGACCAGGCCGCTCTGCTTTCCCTTCTCTTTTCTCCCAAGAGGGGACACCTGGGGGACTCACCCGTGAATCGTAAGCGGGTTTGCGAGACACCTTATTTCTGTTCTATGTGTGCAGGGCTGCAGGATGCCAACCCCCCTAGTCCATGCTAGCAGGCTGGCATGAGGAGTGAGAAGAGGCAAAGCTGCTCCCCCGTCCCTGCCGCCATAAGAGACATACTCTCCTTACGGCATTTAAATCTATGAACTGTTTTCAGCCGTTTCAACTTAGTCACCTGCGATGGTAACCCGGACAGGATTGTCAAAGAAGTCTCCTGTAATTGTGATGTCTGTTCCTCCTCCAAGGCTCCCAGTTGCTGGAAACACAGATAGGATTTCTGCAACAGAAGGAAAAAAGCAAGCTTCCGAATACAAACCAGCATGGGACCCAGACAATAATGTAACCATAGAAGCTATCAATAATTTATTTCTCACTTTAACTTTCTAAGACCAGCAATAGTTGTAGTTTTTTTCTAGCAACAGTCATTTAAAAATAGGTATCATAAGAAAAGGACTCACATATAACAATTTGTATAATAATATATATTATACAGGAACAGTATTTGAAAGGAAAGAGAAATACAGTCACTCTTGCTATCAGCAAAAATCCCTGCCTGCCGTGATGCTTTCTCAGGAAGTCATCTCCTGCCCTCTAGGACTGTTTACACACGAACATGGGTTTTACCTTATGGAGGATCCAGGCAAGGCTTCGGTTTACCCATAAGAGTCTGCAATTCGCTCTAAGCAAAAGAATGAGTTCCACTGGCACATGCCACGTATCCCCAAGATTTTAACTTTTTCTGATCCTTTCCTGTCCTGTGATCAAACTTGGAGAGTTTGGAGTTTCATTCCCTCCAGGGGAAAGACTAGTCGTGTTCTCTGATAAACTCAAGACGCAAAGAGGCTAATTACGAATGGTTCCCGCTATGAAATAAAGGCAAGGGTCAAAATGCAGCGTTTCCTGCGGTCGGCCACCTGGAGAGGGAGGGGCATTTGCAGCACGACCGAGGACATTTCTTGTACTTTCGGAAAAGGTAGATTTTGCTGCCCCTGGAATCTGCACCGACCTCACAGACACTTTTTCAGTGGTTTGGGGACTGTATTCAACCCTAGAATCTAGCCCTCATCTTTAGTAGCCAGTCTTCTACTACTGAACTGAGCTCACGACTTCATGCAAGTTTCCAGTTTTCAGCTTTCATTTTTTTGGATGAAGATGTACTCAGACAGCAACACAGTAACGTAGCATCGGTATCAGCAAGTCATAAATTATTGAATGAATCCTTGGGGGTGAGGTGTTAAAGTGACTGCAAAGATGTGCTTTTAGGTTTTTCAGTGGCACCTCTTCTCTGGTGTTTTTTAGAACACGGAACAGAACGACTCCCACATCTTCTATTCAGTCAGTCCACGTCCCCGGACTTTGTATAAAAGACTATGATCAAGTCTCTTTTCATACAGCAGCCAAAGTCAACACTCAGCAAGCACCCTATCCCCGTACGAAACCAATGGGCCGTCCGTGCCTGCAGGGACGGTGTCAGGTATTGCCGGTTACAGAGAAACGGCCGGAAGGAAGGGAAGGCGGGTCCCACATCCAGGATTGGGTGAGAGAAGCAGGGAGAAGCCCACGGCCCAGGGAGACGGTCGGTACCTGAGTACGTCTGGTAAAGGAAAAGGTCCTGCTTGGCGCTGACCAGCCACGCATTCTTGTGCACCGTGGACCTTCAAAAAGACAACATTGTGTTTTGGATGAAACTGCCTCTGGGTTTGCAGTTTTTAAAGTGACTGCCTGAAAGGAAGGTGACTAGCTTTTAGTGATCTTTAACCTGTTTAGATATCAGCTCCCTTTGATGGCTAGAGAATGAGACTCACAGGGCAAAGTTTCTTTTCTGATCTAGAAAATTATTATTTGGGAAGAATCATTTCCACTTAACAGACAAGCATCCAGTGGAATGATGGGTGTGAAAGGGCCTGGGCTAGAGCCGGCCTCTGGGAGATACCCACTACATACTAGTTTTATTCCTCCCCAAAGGGCAGACAGAGACAGAGGGAGACAGAATCTCCGCACTTTGCGCTGTGCGGCTGTAGGTGATAGGTTGCTATCTTGGGAATGAAATTACAGTCAGCTATATGACTGAAGTATTGTGCTGAACACCAGACATTGACACAGCACTGTAAACTGACTGTACTTCAATAAAAATGTATTTTTAAAAAAACAAAAAAAATCAGCTGGACAAAGCACTTTTCAGGAAAACACCTGACAAAGCACGCAGTGTCAGAAAGGCGTGTGGAAATCTAGCATCCCAATTTCTCTCTCCAAAACTCTATGAAAGTTGGACTCTTTCCATCTTGAGGAAGGCATTTTCTGCACAATGCATTATGGAGCTACGTCCTGTTTGAAATGCCTACTATTATAAGATTACTTAAGAGGTGATTCCACCAAATTCTGTGCCATTATCACCCTGAAACATTTACCTTGCTTCACAGTGAGTGAAACTAGAGAGATGTGACCATTAAATGCAATGCACAATCCAGGTTAGATTCTGGGTCTGGGGGGAAATAACTTTATAAAGGACATTATTGGGACAATTAGTGAAATATGAATGTGGGACCTAGATTAGAATGTAGCATTGGATCAACGTGAAATTTCCTAATTTTGATCACTGTATTATTGTTGTATAAGAAAAAAGGAAAAAACCATGCGTGCATAGGACACAGTTATATTCACCCAAGTAAAAGAAATCAAGTGGGAACATGGGGTTTCATTATACATTTCATATACGGGTTATACATCTGAAACTTTCCACTATAAAAGGTTAAAGCAAGACAAGAGAGTAGATAATATAAGATGAAGATAAACGAATATATGTATGTGTGTGCATGACTGGGACATTGTGCTGCACACCAGAAATTGACACGTTGTAACTGACTGTACTTCGATAAAAAATAAATTAATAAGATAGATTTTCTTACTCCCAGTTACTTACTTTCCTCTGTTAAATACTGAGAAACTAACATTCTGGGAGCCTGTGACAAAAAGAAACAGCCATTAATACGGGAACCTCCATGAACCACCAGGACCAGGCCACTGCTACCAGAAGCTCAAGGACTCCAGCTGTCACCAAGTCACCACCCACACCTTCAGTGCTTTGACAGTGCCCGAAATAAACACCTCCCTGACGTGCGCCATCAGTGATGCTGATTTCCAGCCACAAAAGGTTAAAGGTAGTGACTCGTAGCAGGTAAGTGCAGGCCTGCAGTGAGACCGGGACTGATAAACCCTGCTCCACCAGCTTCAATTTCCTCCCCATCAAGCAGAAATCATTCCACCAGCCTCCCAGGTGTATAGGTGAGTATTAAATCAGTGTATATTTAAGCTGCTTTTTATAGTGTGTTTCAGGGAGTTCTCAACAAATGGTAGTTATTACTATCATCCTCATGAGAACCAGTTTTTGAAATACTATTTTTCCGGACACAGAGAAAAAGATGGATAAGACGTTAAGATTCTGTTACATCTCAAACAGACCGATGTAGTTGCCTTCCACACGGCACTGCAGAGTCCCAAGACCATGGTCTTCCTGAATAGGATAACTAGAGAAAGAACAGAAAAAAACTGAAGTAAGAATTATCTGACAGCTCAGTTCAGAAGTTCTGGTTCTTTAGCCAGGAGAGTAAAAACTAAAATAAAATAAAATAAAATAAAACGAGACAAAACTAAACTCTAACTGGAGTTACCATGAATATGTACGCTACCAGTGTGAGAGACAAAATTGAACTTACTCCTAACCTCCATTTGGTTCTTTCTTTCCAAAATCTATTTTATGACAAGGACCACAAAATCCTCATTCAAAAAAAAAATCCTTATCAAATGTGAACCCAAAACAGAACAGTTCTGAGCAAACAAATGCAAGACACCAGGAAGAAGCCACATTATATAATTTGACTCAACTAAACACTAGTCCTAAAACGCTAAGCCATACAGTGCGGACGATTAATCCACTCAGTCCAGAGTGGAGTAAAAAATCAAGCAAAACGTTGGTAATCTGAGCCCTAAGCATGTAGACACTCATTTTTTTTTAATTTTCCCTGTAATAAATAATTGAATATTGAAACTTTGGTTGTTTTGTCTTTGGCTGGTCGTTGTAGTATCGTAGTTAGGAGAATGAACTTGGGAGGCTGGTCGATCGGCCCCTCTGCCACTTGCTCTTTGGGAGATGTTGGGCAAGTTACTTCACCTCAGTCTCCTCATCTGTAAAGTGGGACTAATCGTCATGTGTAGGCAGGAGGTTATTGGCTGCCCTTAACTGTAAAAGCACAGGAGTAGGGCTTGGACTACAGGAAGCATGAGTAAGTATTGGCTATTTGTTTGCAAGAAAGCTCTCAGAATCCACTTCAAGTTGCATTCTTACTCAATCACTGTGTCTTTTCCAGGAAGTTTAAAGATAAGGCATCCAACAGTTATGGGTGATTTATATTTAAAATGTGTGTGTGTGTGTATCTGTGTGTGTGTAATACCCACATGGAAAGGCCTAAAAGCAGGTGTGTTGGCAAGAAAGACACTCACCAGCGTCCTGTCTTCCTGTTTACGAGAGAGCAAGGAGTGACCCACTGGTCTCCGTGAGCTTCCAAAATCAGTGGGCTGGATCCAAAACGCAAACAACAGACACAAGACAAGAGTGAATGCTCCCAGCAAACATTCTTGGCAAAACTCAGAGGAAACATGGCTGTGAACAAGCATCTCTGGATGTACAAGGCATCGGTACTGGGGGCTGGGGACTGCCCTGTAAGGAGATGCTAAATCAGACCCTCGGCCTGAGAGCGGGTGCACCAGCCTCTTCTGTGGCCCACGCGGTCACACTGCACAGGGAGCACTTCCCCTTTCCCAGAAAATCCTTATCATCTCCACCCTGGCTATCCTGGGGCCACACAGAGCCACTGAGGAGTTCATGTCTTTGCTCCTCCCCTTGCCAAGGCTGCACCCCAGACCAAAGCTGCGAGGGGACCAAGTAGTGAATGTGGTATCTTGCCAAGGATGGACTCGGGGGTTCTAGTCTCCCCAGGAAGAGTAATTTCCATTCAAGACGAGTTGGCCATTATTTAATGCCAGAAATGTGGACCCTGTAAGTAGTCAAATCTTGTTCCCTTCATCTACGGCAGAATCAAAGAGATGGGGCAGAACACGAGGAGACCCCCATCCTGTCCAAGGGGTGAAGGAACAATAAGACGCAGTGTGTAGATTCTCTCAGCAGAGCACATAGTGACATTGTGTTCCTTCTACCTTATAAATCCTCACTATAACTGCTTCATTTGTTGAATAACCAGTTTTTTAGAGCTTTCCACCAACACCCCGACTTCAACACGTTCCATCCTGCTCTCCCCTTTCCCCAGCATGCATGATTTCACAGGACCGCTGTCCTCTCTAAAAGTCTCCAATGAAAATAGTCCTGTGGGCATCCTGATCATTCTCACGGCCTTCCGGACCTCCTCCATACCTTCCTCTGAACATACTAACAGAATTTCTAAATGCACAAACGGATAACCAACAAGGAAGCTCTAACAGTCTTTCGAGTTCACACCTTGTTATAAAGAATTTATTTCAGCCTGAGAAACAAGAAGGAGGAGGGTGAGACTTGAGAAAGTAAAATCCACAGATGCAAATACAGTGCAGCGCACACTGAGCCCAGAGTGACTAGTTGTCAGTAAGTAAATGGACCAACTTAATCGACCGGTCACAGTTACACTAGCAAAGTTTGCAGAAGCCCAGCTCACCAGGGACCATAAACTGCAAAGAGGAAAATAGCCATTCTGTGCCAACTGCTTCCAATTTATCGCTACCGGGGAGCCTCTGGGAGCAATCCAGCATCTCTAAAACCAGCGGCACGCAGAAACAGTCACACACTCACCTGTCAATGTACTCAGCGTCCAAATCCAAGGTTTCCGAGCTTCCAGAGATAATCCAGCCATACACCTGTATCAGCTTTCCTGTTTGAAAAAGGATTTCTTCTAATGAATCGACTTAGCTCAAACTCTAAATATATAACACAAACTCTCTTTCTTTCTTAGTTACATCTACTCAAAATTGCCAAGATGGTCATGACTCAGAATATTAACAATTTTATAAACTGTAGAACAGGAAAGGATGACCCAGGAATCTCTAGGACATTGCAAAGAGGCTAAAATAATCAATCGGTGCCCAGTCGTAGCTTACTCGTGTATGTATGGAGCCCAGAAGAAACACCAGGTCCTCCTCTGAATCCCATGAACAGAGGGAGGGAGTGGAACACACAGCCCTGTTCCACTCTCTTGGCTGCATGTAGACCATCCACATAAATTAAGAGTAATGCTCCTTGGGGGTGCTCTATGCTTCATGAGACCTCCCTCTGATAAGAGGAGACTCATATCACACCATCAGGACTGGTATTTGGAGACACTAAACTTTTTCCCATATCTCAAGAGTACGAACGAGGAGTGTCCTGGATGAACCAGTGGACAGGAAGTCAGAAAGAAGGGTCTGAGAACGCAGCAGAGTTGTGGCTTGAAGGACGGGCCACGCACACATCATTTAGCCAACAAACATGCTCACGTTTAAAGACAGGGCAAAACAGGGGCCCCTAGACAGTGAGTGTCTGCCTTGCCCACAGCTAAGCGGCTGACTTCTACCGCTGGGGCTCCTCTGTGCGACTGGCAGGGACTCGCACAGGGCAGCAAGGATCTCCTTGAGACTCGCCTCTTTGGGTTTATAAGAAAGGGGGTGCAGCATCAGTGGTCCCCTTCCACCCAGGTGCATTCGCAGGACTGCCCCCACCTTCTCTGCTCAGCAGCCCCTTCTCAGAAAGAGTTCGGGCCCCAGACCAGATGCTCCAGGGGCTGGATATCCCCAGAGCCAGAAAAACACCTAAATGCCGTCCTGGAGAGGTGCATGAGACAAGGTTTTAGGCAAACACACCGGAGCAAGGTGATCCAGCTCAAGTCCAGCCCGCAGCCTGGAAGTGAGAGCCTTCCAAACAATCACAGGGCTGAACGGCCCGGGCTGTCGTCCTCCAGCATCACAGACAACGCTGAGGGCTGAGAGAGCTGTGGGTTAACGAGGCAGAGCCCCGGAAACGGAGGAGAAGGGTGTACCCGTGGGGTCATCAGGTCCTTGAATCCAGAGACGACACCTGAGGCCACGAAACAACGTGACCGAGCAGCAATGCTTCCCTACACAGCATGCCTGTATTTTATTAATATGAAGAAACTTTTATCTCCAGTAATTGGATGACTGGCCCTAAAACACTGGGAACCTTCTAGGAAGTGTGAGGACACTTGAAAATTTGCAATAAGCTTCAGCAAAGAAATTTGTATTTTTTATTCCCATCTTAATAGGAGATTTCTTACCTGGAACTCCACTTGGTGGATGAACTTGGTAAACAATGGGTGTCTGTGCCCTGGAAAACTGTTTAGAAAACAAGTTATCACAGTGAGCACTTCATTGAAACATCGCAGTCACATGCGCAAGAAACACAAGTCATTTCTCACAGACCATTCGTCTAAGGCAGCGAATGGTTACGTTTCCTCAAATCACCTTCCATCTTTTTCTGTTCTGAGATGACAGATATTATTATTTATCTCCCCTAGATGAGGTAAAGAGAATCTGATCAAGGTCATGTATCTCCCCTGTGCCACATCACCCACACCTGGGCAAGTCTGTTTCTACTTGCCCACCTGCCACACCAGGAACACGTTCTACCAAAGGAAAGGTAGGCAGGCAGGCCATGCTTTAAAACATCAATTTGAATTCCATTATTGCCACTTAAAATCTTGGAATCTTCAAGGTTTTTTTTTAACTTTTCTAGACATTAATGTGCTTATTTAAATGGAAAAGATTGCAACTTAAATTATTATCTGCCAGCACCTTGGTAGGGATTAGCAAGCTACAAAAAGTTGGAAGCTGGAGAGACACATACAGTAGGTTGGTTTGGGAAGAGGGAAGGTACCTATTGGGAGGAAATTGATTCAAATGATGCAAGGAATGAGAAGCAACATTACTCTCCAAGGAGAAAACCGACTATTGATGGGAGAGGCAGGAGCCTGGGGGAGCCTGGTCCTGGTACCCCGAGTCATCTTATGATGCCCTGACCCCCTGCAGCACATCCTCTGCCAACCACAAGCTCCAGGGAGGCAGGGACCATGCCTGGCTGTATTGTTAGGGGACCCCTGTGCACCATGCTGTTTTGGGTTTTGCTGCGCCTTTCACCCCAGATATTAGTTTTCCTGCTTATTAAAATATCGGGAAAGAGAGAGAGGGGAAAGGCGAGAAACCCATCCTAAAAGTTGCTCATTAAAGAAAGGAAGTCCTTCAGTGGTAGGACTGGCTTGATGAGTTGATGAAAAATCACCAGGAGATACAGCTAATGAGAGGCAGTCCGAGCTAAAGGAAACACAGTGACTCTGTTTGGGGGCTGGGACCAGGGGAACTGTGGGTATAAAAAATTAATTCCACCTCGCCAGTCCACTGCAAAGAGCCTGCTGCAGGCACTGACACGTCTGAACAACTCACAGACGATTTATCAAGCAGCTGGTGGCTGTGGCTTTCTCATTCAGAGCCCCTGCTTCTCCGCTCCCCCACCTTGCTGCTACCCACCCCACTGGGGCTCAGGGGGCAGCATGCGGGAAGCTGGATTTGGTAGCTCATTAAGTTTTCACTTTGTCATGTCTCTAGCTCAGTGGGTGACCAGAGGCCTGTTTCTCTTAGAAAAGTCCCATTTTATGTCATGTCAGCTCAGAGAGCATCACAAGTGAAGCCTCTTTTTGAGGTGTCTCTCCGAGGCTGCCCTGCCGCTCTCTAGGGACCAGAGAGGGTGGGGTAAAGGAGTGGCTTTATTCCACTCCTCCTAGCCCCTCAACTTTTGGTGGAAGGCTCACAGCTAGAGCAGTGGATCTTATATTCCAGGTTGGAAATTGGGAGGTGCATTCCCTTGTCTGGCGTGGACTTGCTTGGTCTAACATCTGGTAAGTGGGGCCATAACCACTGTTGTACTTTATGGAGCTCCTATGATCAAGTTCCAGTGGCAGTGACAAGGGTCTGAAGGATGTCGCAGTGGCAAAGGGAGGTCTGGGTGCAGAAGTGGTGGGAGGTGGGAGTGGGCGCTTGGCAGACGTGTGGGACTCGCATTAATCGTTATCCTCTGGTGAGATCAGAGCCAGCTCCCAACCCGGGGAGTCACGGCACTCGTCTGTTGACCCCCTGCACGTGCATATTTTCTGTGACCTCTTTTCTCACCCTTTCCTTCAGAAAGACAGGAAACTCGCCTTGGCGACAGACTGTACGGCCATGTGGATCAATACTTAAAATACTTGCCAAGCTGCCCTCAGCTCTGTTAAAATGTCTGTTAGTTCTCCATGTCTGGTTAGGGCTGTTGATTAACAGGGAGTTATTCTTTAGCAACCACTCCTGGGGTGATGAAAGCAGACCAGGCAAAGCACATTGCTGTCTTTGTGTTGCAGGTAGGAGGGACTGTAGGTCTGGGGTCCTCAGGCGGCCAGAGGAGGATGGGGTGAGGGTGGCAGCGAGGGGAGACTAGGTCTCTCCCTGGGCGGGTCATTAGCACATGGATCAAACCTTGGCCAGGCCCATCCATCCCTATGATTCTCCGCCTCCTCACGCTGGCCCTGACTGTGAAGTGCTCTAATCTGGGACCCAGCCAGAGGCCTATAGGTGAGGTGGAATTCCTGGAATTGTCTCCAGCTTCCCGCACGCTGCCCCCTGAGCCCCAGTGGGGTGGGCAGCAGCAAGGTGGGGGAGCAGAGAAGCAGGGGCTCCGAATCAGAAAGCCACAGCCACCAGCTGCTTGGTAAACTGTCTGCGAGTTGTTCAGACGTGTCAGTGCAGCAGGCTCTTTGCAGTGGACTGGCGTGGTGGAATTAATTTTTTATATACACAGTTCCCCTGGTCCCAGCCCCCAAACAGAGTCACCCTGTTTCCTTTAGCACGGTGATTATGGGACAGGCCCGACCATCTCCCTTCTGTTCTATTCACTGAGACAGCATGGAGGTAGGTGGTGGTCTGGAGGTAGGTGGTGGTGTGGGTCTGAATGAGAAAGGGTGATTTTTTTTTTCTGCAGCCTGTGTGCAGAAGCAAAATTCTGGAGAACACCATCATCCTGGCATGACAAACAAGTCATTCAAGGTGAATTGATGGCAAATTCCAGTATCAAAAGATGAATTGTGGACTGTAGGACAGATAAATTTAGAAGATGAAGTCTTGTTCTCAAGGAGCGTTCATTAGTGTCTCTGTTGTGCTCTTGGGAGGCTCCCTATGGGCAGTGCAACCACGGCAAAGAACCCTGCCAAACGTCTGCCTTTCACGGAACATCTAGAACCTACCTGTTCAGAGATCATTTTAGTGGAAAACCAATCTGAAATGGACAGAATACCGAAGCAACATAAAATTAAGCCCCAACATAAAATGAGTGCGGACGGAAGTTCTAAAAGAAGTCAGGCATTGGCTCAGAAATTCTCGGCTTGCTTTTTGCTCTCTCTGAGCTCAAAGGAGAATCCCAGCAGTAAGTGCCCTTTCCATGTAGGGTTGGAAGGAGAAGCAGAAATCAACTGTGAAGCAGGGAAGAGGGTGGAACTTGGGTCCCTGAGTCCCTTCACCATCCTGATACTTTAGATCATCTCAGCTGGAAAAAGGAACAATGATGCACAGTCATCTTTGGGTTCCTCTGTGGGCGTCAGCTGAAGTGAGGATTTAGATGCAGGTTCCAATCTCGGTTCTGCCATTTATGATCTGGGTGATGTGGGCAAATTATTTATACCCCTGAGTCCTAGGTTGCTCCTCAGTCAAAGTAGGATAATGAAAAGCTACCCTATAAAATGGTTGTGAGTGGTGCTTTAACGTGCACAGAGCACTCAGCTGCAGCCTGACACAGCCGTGCTCAATATTGCTCTTTAACAGAATCTCAGAAACACCGTAACCCTCATCCGCCTGGCCTCTTACCCTGGCAGACAGACCCCCAGCTGCTTTATGAACTTGCTGGTCGACAGCACAAGCATGTCCTCAGACCAGGCAAGCACACCCGCCTCCATCCTCAGAACCCACCTTGAACGTGCCGCTGTCTTGTGGTCCTGGCCTTGGGCTGCCTACCACCTGTGCCCCCGAGCGCACTTCCAGGTAGTACAGGCCCTCGTGTGCTTCGGACAGCAGAGGTCTGTGGGCAGAATGTGGAAATCCTTGAGAATCAGAAACCGTGAACTGTCCGAGCTGGCCGCCCGACTGGACCTCCCTGCACCTGTGGAACAGAGCTAACGAACCCAGGACTCCTGTATCTCACTTTTCACCCCCTCCACCCACTCAGCGACTAGACTTTAAAGATTGGATTCTGCAGCAAAAGAAGTTATGAATTTTTATATTGAAAGTACCTAATTTTTAAAAAATCTGTCCCACTTCTCAGATTCATAGGTTTAGGACTTTTAAGAGACAGAAGGGACATGGATAGATAATCTGCTCTAGTTTCCATTTTTAAAAAATTACAGTTCCATGGAGATTAAGACACTTAGGTACGCAAACACCACAGGTTAAGGACAAAGTAGAGCTTGGATCCTAGGCTCTTTCTGATAAAAGGCATTGACTTTATATGCTGCCAAAAATTCTTGACTTGATAATTATACAAGCAGCCCATAAACACTTCACATGTCCATCAAGAGAGTCCTCGACCTTCCCTTTCCATGCGTTTCACAGTGATTTCTTCTCCTCTTGAGGCTCCTGTTCACTCTGATTTTTGTGAGAGGGAGAATATGATGAAAAGGGGTTAGATTTTAGAAGTGCCTCCTGTCCAAACCTTCTCCTAAAATCTTTAGCACGACCTTAAATATTTAAATCTGCCCTGCCCAATGCGTTAGTCATGAGCCATATGTGGTTACTGAGCACCTGAAATATAGCTAGTTCCAAGTAAGATACGCTGTAAGTGTAAAATACACACTGGATTCTGAAGACTTTTTATGCAATAAAGGATATGTGGAGCCAAACAAAATGTATTATTAAAATTAATTTCACCTCTTTTTTTGATTTTTTTACTGTGACTACTGGAATTTTTTAAATCATATTTGTGGTTCGCATTGTATTTTGGTTGGGCAGTGCTGATCTGGATGCTACAATGCCTGCTTTGGAGAAAGCAGATAAGGCTTTTTACGAAAATGAGTATGACAGTGTTTCACTGATGATAAAATGTACATTTTCCCACATTTGAGTGTTAATTGTATTTGATACTCATTTTCCAAGCAATGAGTACATTTAAGAGGGTAATATTTCTTTTTTTCTAAAAAGATGATATAAAATCAATGGTGCATCTTAAAATCATTAGTATGTTGGGATTGCAGAGACAGAACATATAAGTCTTCAGAGCTTTAACTTATTGCAGGAACTCTGTGCCCAAATATACCATAAAACCTAAGGAAAACGTCTCCACCAATAGCAGGGTTAAAAGGAACTTTGGTTCATAGACATCTGCTGGACATCTTCTACTCGCAAGATATGGTGTTAATCACTTTAAGGACCACAAGGGTGGGTTAACCACATCCTAAGTCCTCAGTGCACTTAAGTCTGTAAGGATGAGTCTGAAAAGTGGGCAGCCCACATGATGTCAGGAGAAGCACAGGGTGGAGGAGACAGGGCCACTGAGACTGTGCATAACACACCTTCGTGTAAATTACAAAAAGGTCCTCCCTTCAGGAAGATGAACTGCATCAGAAAAGTGTATGTGGTGTGTATGTATGTGTGGGTGTGTACACACACACACAAACACACACGTCACGTGGATGAATTACTAAAAGCTGCTCCTTCCTCAAGGCCTGCATTTCAGTTCCTATTTGTTCCCCTTTCAAAGAAGGGAAAGATTACACTCAGTTGGATGTTGAGGGAAGAGGTGGCATTGGCACAGGATTGGTTCAACAGGCAGAGATGGAAGAGAGGGAGATTTCCTGAAGGAGGGAACAGAAAACAAAACGGAATGACACTGTTCTTACTCTTAACCAGCGATCCACTTTCAGGCAGCATCTCTAAGATACAAAGAATGAACTAGTCTAAACTTTGTGAGCCAACAGAAGCTCAAGAGGGATGATAGCGTATCTGAAATTCCACAAAAATCATATCAAACTCAGCAGACAAACTGAGGACGAAGGCAGATTTCCTTTCTAACTGGTTTTTAGTTTATGGACAGTCATTGCAAGTAAGCCTTTCCCAAAAGAATAGATGGCAAAATGGAAGCATTTGCTGAACTCTCAGTAGCAATAGAGATCCTTGCAAAAACAAACAAACAACAAACAAACAAACAAAATCTGGAAGCCCCTCCTTACAAATACCTCAAAATTCTCAGACGTCTTCCCCATATCCCCATCCCCCTTGAAGCCCTACACTGCTCATTGCAGTCACAGGGGCAGTTGCTCTAATTTGCCCCCCAAAGCTACTGAGGTAAGAAAAGCTCTCCTCCTGGCCATCTTCTCATCCCCGGGCAGGTGTACCTGGTCCTGCACATCACTGCCGGCAAAGCCAGGAAGACGGGAGCGAGGTCACAGGGGACGCTGGGCAGTGCAGGCGCAGCCACGTTCACCAGGTGGATCTCCAGCTGAGAGCCATTGGCAGGATAAAGGAGACTAGCCTCGAAATCTAAGCACAAGAGAAAGGAGAATCTCAGGCTGGGGAGACGTGTACTCTACACGGGTAATACAAAAATATGCCACGAGGGGGCCATGGGAGGCATGGAGTGGCTCTAAGGATTAAATTAATACCCTTCATTTCCAAAGGCAGTTATGTGCACTATATGAATGAGTGTTCTCATTTATGAGTTTATTAAAAGAAAGTCTCTTTTCAGGTCCATCCGTCTAAACCCAGGAAAGAATTTTCCAACCCTCAAAGTTACTCCTTCCTGTGGTAGAGAGGGGTACACTGAACCATGGCTGAGAAGCTCCCACGTGTACGATTATTGACAAGGAAGAAACCAAGGTTCTGCAGGTCACATTGCCAAATTCTCTGCTGTCATCTCATTAGGGCCCCTGGAGTCCCCTCTCCTACCAGCTGGGGATGAGGATGTGGACACAGACTCATAACGGTGTGCTCTGACATGAGCAGGTGGACGTCTGGAAATACAGAAGCAGGTCCTTCAGGACCTCTTTTACATCTGTCCTTAGACAAGGAAGGCAACCAAAGACTTATATCCTTTAGAATTCTTTGGAGCAACAAATAAGAAATTGGCATTCGCAAAGACCCAAACCTACCATCGAAAATGACTGTGAGCCAAGTCCCGCCTGCGAGGCTGCCTTCTTTAGGTTCAACATGGATGCTCAGAGAAGACACTGTAAGCAAGTAAGAGAAACACTGGCTTCAATATACAGATTCAATCCACCAGCTTCCCCAGTGTCATGAAGCAAATTATCATTCCTCAGAATCCCCGGGAAGGCTTGATACACGCTATATGAATGAGTGTTCTCATTTATGAGTTAGTTAAAAGAACAGATCGCTGGCCCCACCCCCAGAGTTTCTGATTCAGTAGGTCCGTGATGGGGCCCCAGAATTTACAGTTCTGACCAGGTGCTGCTGGTGGGACTGGTCTGGGGACCACAGCTTCAAAACGCACACTTTCAGGAAAGTTTTGACTGATCTTCTCATCTTAAATATCCAACAACCCTGTGTTCTGGGACAGTCCTGAATCTCTGCTTCCTTTGGAAAAAGTCTCAAGGATACACTTGGTTCCTAACTGAACCCATGCCTTCTCTCCTTCCTACTCTATTTTTTAATGGTACATTTATTTTATTTTATTTTTAATTTATCGTAGTATAGTCAGTTTACAATGTTGTGTCAATTTCTGGTGTACAGCATAATGCTTCAGTCATACATACACATACATAGATTCCTTTCCCTACTCTTTTTCATTATAGGTTAGTACAAGGTATTGAGTATAGTCCCCTGGGCTGTGCGGAAGAAACTTGTTGTTTCTTTCACATAGTAGTTACAATCTGCAAATCTCGATCTCCTTCCTACTCTTTATAATCAGGTGGTCATATTCAATTGTCACCACTTATTTCTTGTATTTCTACTTCCCAGAGAAGAGAATAAACTTCTAGAAGCCATCCCTATTTCAATCCACCTGCTCACGGCACCATTTTCTAGTTTCCCCCTTTTGAATACTTGACTCCCCAAAAAGATACAGAATTTTCTAGATTTTTGCCTTGCCTGCTTAGAGAGGAGCTGAAGCATGACTCAGTGCTGGAATTTTTTTTTTAACCCACCATAGACTTCACATGCTAGGCTAGATTGGGTTCTCCCATAGAGGCCATGGGCTGAGCATGACCATATTAAAGCCTCATCTTCAAAGATTCTCCTGGACATGCCTTGGCAGAAGTGAAGCCAATTCAAGGACACCACCACAAATCAGTCAGCTCCTCAGGGAGGTCACAGAGAGGAAAAGTGTTATATCTACAGAATACTTTTCTGTTTCTACATCAGAAAAGTTACAGGATAATTCAGGCCACGTTAACTCTGGTTAGCCCAGGGCTTCCATGTACCTTTGTGCAGGTGGCACACTGCACAACCAAGGATGGTGGAGAATCATTTACATCAACACAGTCATTCATGGCAGCCCTGGCCCAACCAGCCCATGCTTACCCTGTCAAAGATGTATTAGATTCTTCTAACTAAAGAAGGCCAAAAACAAATGCCATAAAAAAGATACAGAGGATAACTCAAATTCACTGAAAAAAATTAGAGACACGATATGAGAAAAGGAAATTTTTAACACAAGCAGTCATTAATCTCTAAGATGAGATAAGCTACTTCCTTTGGGAAGATAACATAATAAAATCTAAAAAGAATTATATCATATGGCTCAAAAAGGAATTATAAAAGGAAGGTTGTAAGTTATTATTAAAAGCTCTAGACTATAACAGTAACTTCCACTGGCTGCTATAAAATAAAATGTATTTTTATAACTATTTAATATATAACCTCAACTACTAAACAGGAAAAAAAAACTTATTAAGCAGAGAAAATTTAAACCCAGAGCAGACATTTCAACACTTCCTCCCAAAATAATATTTCAGTATTGGTAAACTAGTTCTCAAGGTAATCTGCTGTGTTCCCTCTAAAATCCCTTCAAAACACATCCAACTCACCTGCCAGGAGGAGTACTTCAATACTTGTTAGAGGCACCAGCCACCCAGTCATCTTGTCTACTTCAATCAGTCCTCTCCAAATTTCTCGGACATGAAACACATTTTCAGTTTTGATTGGAGCAGCCTAGCTTTTGTTCTTTATGAAAAACAAAATGAAAAATTACTATCATTTTTTGCTTATGTACAATTGCTTTGCTGTGTTAAAACTTGGGAAATTAAAGAAATTATATCAATATGACCCTAGAGGGACCCACCACCTTCCCAAGCTCCAGAGAAAAGGGTAATCTAAGAATTTTATATAAAATCATCGTTCTTCCACCCCCTCCCCTGTCCCGCTCACTTACTTTATGCACGTTTAAGCTGGGTAAGTAACAATAACCTTTCATTAATGCATGAAACAAACGCTTAAATTTTAAAAATAAATAAATTCCAGGTATCAAAATACCAGTTAATACTGGTTACCGAGGTGAGAGGGTGGTTTTGTTTTGCTTTCCAGAAGTCTCAGTCCTCCAGGAAACAATCAACACAAAAAGAGTAATGAACTTAACAAAGCAAATGTTAAGCATGGTAAAAGGTTGGAAAAAACAGTGGTAATGAGAATTTGGGCAAAATTATTCAACACCCACAGCAGAGGAGACAGGGAGGGAAGAAACAGAGGAAGAAAAAGCTGGACCCTCCTAACTGGACCCCACGACCCCAGGTCCCTTTACCTAATCCACAATGCCCAGACCATCCTCCTTAAATACTGCTTTCATTCTGCAATTCTCCTGCTTAAAGCTTTCAATTCAAAACAAAACTTCTACCACTTAAAAAATGATAAGAACACCTGTTAGGACTTTTATCCATTTTGACCGAGATGATACACACATCAAGAAATTAACACAGAGCTGAATACAAAGGAGATACCCAAACATGTTAGTTTTCTTTTCGCGGGCTCTCTACTTCCAATGGAAAGCCCTCCCCTGACTCTGCAGTCTTGCTGAGATCTGCCCCCTAACCTCTCCAACTTCCCCGCCCCGCGTTGCTCTCCAAGATGACCCCTGCACCGCGGTGAGGCTGTGCTCTCGCGTGGTCTCCCAGGCAGGCTTCCCACAGTCAGCTTCTGCCTTGGATCCTGCTGGTCCCTTTCTGGATGCCCCAGACTCTCTTGCACCCTAGCGAGATCCTGGTCTCCTTCAGGGCCCGGCTCAGGAGCTGCCTCCTCCGTGGAACCTGCCCCCGTGTTGGTTCACAAATTAACTGGCCCTCGATACTCGTTGGGCAAGGAGAGACCAGACAGCGAGGCAGACACTCCAGACTGGCAGGTGGCAGGTTTTGTAACCAAGGGAACTTACGTCTGAGGCTTGTCTGGAGCGGCTGCAGGATGAGTAGATCTCCCCACCTGCCTGCCAGAATCTTGAAAGTTTATACGGAGACCTTACCGGGTTCAGTCATGTATTCAGTCCCCATGGTCTCAACACCATGGTGCTCTCTCAAAACTGCGTCCTTGAAAATGGCTCTGGCTGTGGGAACGGTGGGCAGGGTGTACATTTCAAGGATGAGGGGGGTGAGGAACCTCTGACTCCTGGGGTCCAGCTCACAGGTCAACCGGCGGTCACATCCCCTCCCTGACCTCCCCACAACCACTCAGTCATGCTCTCACTGCCCGTTATGCCCTGAACCTCTAGCTTGTGCCTTGTGCAGACTGGACTGGACAGAGCAGTGCTGTGTGTGCCTGTTCTGCGAGACTGTCCATCCCACCAAGAGGTCCAGGGACCAGTCTGCTGTTTCTCCAACCCTCTCAGTTCCGGGGCCCCACACAGGACTCTGATTGAATACAGAGTTAAGTAATCTAAGCCTGAGTTTAGCTAACCTAAAAGAGTAAGTGGGATGGACAGGATTCACGGAAGCCTGGCTGGAAAGCCACTCTCCTTGGATAACGCCCTGATGCCTGCTCTGGAGTGGCTGCTGACCTGCCATCCAGCTCCCCTAAGTCAGAGGGCACAGAAAAAACCTCGCAAAGGTACTCGCTCTGAAATTTTTCAAAAGTCAAAAAAAAAAAAAGTACGGAATTAAATACATATAGACATTCCTGAAGATTCATTTAATTTGTATTTTTAAGAAAACACTGAGACTAGCAAAAATAGCTAAACCATTTCAGAAAAATAAAAGCCACCATAAACGCCCAGAAAAAAAAAATTATCTGCAAAACACTTAGAATAAACGTATCTTATGGGTGTGTCCTGGTGAAGACAGTACAATGTATAAAATCCTCTCTAGTCGATTCAACTCCACAAACATTTATGCTATGCCTAATATGTGCTGGGCGGGCGCTGTGCGAGGAGCTGGGAAAACAGAGACACATGATCTGTGTACCTGCCCTCAGGACCCTAGGGGAAGGGGTAGGGATGAAGGCCACTTGCTTTTACAGGAGCAGTGCTACAGTTTTCAAGTAGACTCAGGTGTGCCTTTAACCTGCAAAACTCCCCGCATTTTTATACCTATTTGGGAGAGAACTCACTTCTAACACATGCCATTTTCAGAAATACACCTCCTGCCCAGAGCAAGGTACCCAGCAGTGTTTGCTGCTTGGTCCAAAAGCTCCGGACCTGGTGTGCTTGTTACACCCAACAGGCTGTGCTCGGCACGGGAGCGTCTATGCTCAATCTGACTGTGGGATTTTAAATTTTACTTCAAGCTGAGAACAGTGGAAGTCAATAGTCACACACTGGCTTTCTTAAAGCCCTATGTTCAGACCTACATCTTTTCTCTTAAAATAGAACAATCAAATCAATAATAAATGTAATTTTACGGACATAGAAAACAAACTGTGGTTACTGGAGGCGGGGGAAGGGCGAGGGGAGGGATGGACTAGGAGTTTGGGATTACCAGATACACATTACTGTGCATAAAACAGATAAACTACAGGGAACTAATGCACTGCACAGGGAACTATATTCAGTTTCTCCTTGTGCGCTATTATGGAAAAGAATCTGAAAATAAAAACATACATGTAAAAAATAAATCAGTAACAAATGTAATTTTTTTCTTATTATCTACTCATTCTTTCTAAGGACAAATTCAGCCTCCATTTAATTCTTTTAAGCAGAATATCTTCAACCAGAGGACTGCTGTGTGCGTTCGGTCAAGTCTCCTCTCTCCCCTGTCTCTGTCTCCCCTCTGCTCTAATTCCTTCTCCTCCTCCTTTCCTCCCCTCCCTGGGCCTCCCTTTCTTTAGGACTTTGAAGACAGCACTATAAGGTTGCTACTTCAGATCCCCTAGTTCCTTTGTTCACCACGACGCTCGCCATACCTAGAAAACACAGAGCAGAGACATTTCTGAACCCAACAGTACCTTTTACTGTGTCTCTCCCAACGTGAGTCAAGCAAGAAGCTATCTTTCCTTTCCAAATGCTCTTGTCCCTGTCTGTCAAGCACCGACGGCCACGTTCCCTGGTTAGAGCCCAGCCTGCAGCAGCCACCACGCAGGTAACTCACTCTGCTGGACTGGAACTCACCTAACTCGTCTGTGTCCCGGCCAGACTGGCGCCAAAGTAAAAGTCCAGAGCTAACCGCGGGGCAAGTTTAATGATTAACATGAGCTGTTCAGGCTTTTTCCTCGGAATCTTCTATTAATAACCAAAGAAAGAGTGGCTTACATTTTTCTCCACTTTCTGAATGTGCCCCAGACAAGAATTTTAAGTAAAAGTCCACCCAGTGAGACAAACAAGCATGCAATGGTGGAAGGAATTTGCCAGTAAGTCAATGACCGAACACAGACCCAGCAGAAAGGGCTCATGAGTGCCTGGCTGTGTTCTGACATTCTCACTATGAGGGGGTGAGTCTAAAGAAGCAGAGAGAGGGTGGCCTGTTCAAAGTCTTGCTAAGAAAGGGCCAAGTAGCCCTTTCTGCTTTTTTTTTTTTAATCTTCCTCCTTCCCTCCTGATCTTGCTTTTTTGGCCAAGAGGAAGTGCTTGACTTGGACCCATCACTTTCCAGTAGGACCCAGACCATGGGTCTCGGTCACCGGTTTGAGTCTCTTGATAAAGAATCAGACAAGCAGCCGACCCAGGAAGTCAGCACCACGTCCTCACGTGGCCCAAGTCTAGTGTCTCCGTCTCTGTCCTGCCATCCATCCCAGCTCACCTGGCCAGCTTCCCGATGGTGTCAGTCCATGCCTGGTAGTTCTTGACCAGAAGCAAGTCTCATCTTCCTTCCTTTGGAAGAGAAGCCTTTCCAGTAGAATTTGACAGCCCTGAGTCTCTGCCTCAAGGACCTGGAAAGCAGCCCCAGCAAGAACAGATTTAATCCCTGGAAATACAGCACAAGTCTCATGAGAGCAGTGGAACGGTCCTCTAGAAAGGAGGGGACTGTAGACCAAATCTGCTGTGTATCACAGCTTGGCAACCAGTGACAAGCAGAAAGATTTTCCTAGCACGGCGGCCGGTAGTGCCTCTAGAGAGGTGCCTGGCCAGGTTACGCAGCTCGGGAGTCACTCACCTGCTGAACCTCAGCTTCCTCTCTAGATCCGCCAGTGCAGGTCCACAGGCATCACTGGATCGGGCCACATGTGGGTGCCTGGCATATGGATAATAAGGAAGAGGGGACAGACCAGGTTTGAGGCAGATAATCAATGGGGATTTCAGAATTATTGGTAATTTTTATTTCTATAAAGGAAATTATATTCACCAACCACTTAGAAGGTTCAAAAAAAAAATTTAATAGAGTTTCTGCCCCCAAAGCGCTTGCTATCTGGCAGGGGAGACAGAATCATGACCAGGTGAGCCCTCTGTATTGTAGTCAAATCTCATGATGAAGACTTACCTGACATCCTGTTTCTTGCTGCTTTAGCAAGAGGTTTCCAGACATGAACCCCATCTATCCTTGAATAAAAAGCCTATAATGAACATTTATCATTCTTTTTGTCAGCCCAGTGTCAAGACTCTATCCTAAAAGCACCCCAGTGTTCTTATGGTTAGGTTTAAGTCCTCACTCTGGACTAGAGGAATCCTAATGATACACAGGACTTTGGTTGCTGGGTTCTTGGGACTTCCCGGTGGGCAGTCAGGCTCTACAGTTAAAGAAATTAAGCAGAATGAGCCATTTCATGGTGCAAGGCCTAGAAGGAGACGCTATAGACCCCACAGGCAGTGGCTATGCCACATGGAAGTCTGGGGAGCCTTGAGGACACCTCTCTGGGAGCCCCATCCACCTCAAGACCCCCAAATCTACATACATATCTGAGTTTGCTATACAAACACAACCTCTAGACAAGTCCCCCCGCCCACCAAACCTTCCATCTAATTGTACTCCAAAGTCCCTGTCATACGAAAATTCTAAATTAAGTCTTGGGCTCAGGTCCAAGGCCGCCTGAGCATGATTCATTTCCCGGACACCCCAACTTTGGCACTCGAAGTGGGTAGACTTCAGTTGCTTATAGAATTCACTTTTGTCGAGTCACTCAATTCCTGCTATGTCAGATAAAATCGGTCTTGCAATATCCAATGTTTTCCAGACCACAGGAACAAACTTTTCTGTGAATTTGGAGCATCTGTGAGAAATATGGGCACAACAGCCTGTGTCAGTTTCTGAATTACACACAGTACAGCATCTCCCTGGGTTCAGCAGAATTTAAAATAAGTCGTACCAGCAGGGAGCAACAACAGAAAAGCAATTAATTTTTTTCTAGTTTGATACCATGTTACTCTCTGAGTCTAGGAGCCCAACTGAGATTTCCAAAGTGTATCTCACACTTTTGTTTTTAAAAATGATGAGCGACATTGAAGTCATGCATTCCTGCAGCCCAGACGAATGCTTGCCTTAGCAGCAGAAGGTTATGATACTGTCAAGTTCTATATCTTAGAGAAAATTGTTTTTTAAATGGAAGAAATGTTTTCCCCTTCTCTGGCAAACATTGTGCAGCTGATATAATAGCAGAGTTCAATACCTGATAAGAGGGACAACATGGACAGTGAACAAGAGGGGACTCCAAAAATCTAGAAATAAGATTGCCTTCAGAGTTAGACAAATGAAAGCAACAAGGAATGGATCAAACTGCTTAGTAAGACTTAAAGCTATGACTAAGAAAGCCAGTCAGATGCCTATTTGTGAAGATGGACAGTGTGGCAGTTTTTCTTTAAATGGTCACAAGTTCTTTGTCAATTATCTCATTGAAAGGAGGTCTATGTCTCCCTTCTCTTGAACCTGGATGGACTTGTCACTCATTTAAAACCAACAGAAAGCTCTGGAGATCATGCCGCCTGAGCTCCGAGGCTAAGTCAGAAAACACAATGCAGTTTTGCCATGTGTGTTGGAACACTTACGTTTGGGGCTCTGAGCCACTCGCTAAGAAGTCCAGCTACCTGGGGCTGCCAAGCTGGGATGGAGCCACACCATGTGGACAGGCCCCCTGTGATCATTCCAGGTGGCAGTCCTGGACTTTGCTCCCCCAGCTCAGATTCCACACCCATGAATGAATGGGCTTCACACCATTCCAGCCCCCCAAGCATCCAGTCACCACCAGCCTTTGAGTCTTCCCATTTGAGGCCATCAGCTGGCTGATGTGGAGTTCGGAAGGCCAGCCCGCTTCCATCAAAGAGGGACAGCTCCCTGGGACTGTGAGACGCCAGAGCTCCCCGAGGGATCTCATTGAAGCTAGACTTCTGCTCAACCACATCTTTGCTTGGCTTCCTCTCGGGTCCCATTTCTTTACAAATTATCTCCTGCAGTGACTCATCGATTAACACCTTACCCAAGAACGCCTGTCTTCTGAGGAACCTGACCTAAGACAGCAGGATAACTGGGAAGAGAAGATAGTTTAGGGACAAGGTGATGATTTTGGTTTGAGATGCTTCCAGAGAAGTTTGTCTTTAAAAAAGGGGGGCGGGGGGAGGAATCTGAAACCCAGAATCAGACAGACATGGATGACATCTCTGACTTCCTAGTCTTACAGTCTCGAGCAAGTTTAGTTGTGCTGGGGTCTCACCCTCTCCAGCACACAGCAGCTGGAGACCGAAACCCATCACCTCCACCAGAGCAGCAACAGAAGTTGACCTCAGGGTGAAGTTCAAATATTATTATTTTCTATGTGCACCTAGAAGAGAAGAATTGGGGAAAGCATTGCTTAACCCCCCCCCATCTGTGAGATGGAAATTCTTACACTCCCACTGCAGGGGACAGTCGTGAGAATGAGATGCGATAACCCAGCATCATGGTAGAGTCGAGAGCAAGCCCAGTAATGCAGTCATCCTTGGTCACGTCACCACCGGAAGACATCCAGGAGGCCTTGCTGCCGGGGAAAGTCTGAACGGATGTGGGCTCCCAGGCTCTTGTCCAAATGCTCATTTCTTTCTTCTTCCTTCTTGTTAAGGGAAATGTGCCAAGGGTGGCAGAGCTTTGATTATTATCTCCAGGGCCTTCATGTATTTTTCACACGAGGTTGGAGGTGGGAGGATGGAGAGGAGGTGGAGGGCGGCTCTCCCCCAACACCGTCCTGCACTCTCGACGTTCTTATAAGTGAGCCGTGCCCTACATCGCGGCGCTTTGATGGCACTGGGCATGCCTTATTTATAGACAACAACTGCTGCAGAGCTTCAAAGCGGGCACTCAGCCAAGCCAGAGATGCAGAGTGAACACGCTGAAGTGCTAAGTTCTCAGAGGCAGAAAGGAAAGGACGGGACACAAGAGCTTCTGGGAGCCAGAGATGAACCACACCAGAAATGCCCATGCCACCCCGCTCCCAGGGTAGTAAATGGCCAAAGCCCTTTATGTCAGTCCCACAAGTGCAGCTCTCAGCCAAGGCAGGTGATCCAAAGTGGGGTTTGACTTTCTGCCACTATCTGACAAACCCTCATATTTACCAGATCATTCCATGACCTTTGGAGACCATGATTTCCAAAAGATGAACCTCTAATTCTCACCTTAAATTCTTTTTAAAAAAGGAAAAGCCATTGTGGTGGACTGAATCATGGCCCTCCCAAAGGTGTCTACATCCCGATCCCCAGAACCTGTGAATATGTGACCTTACCTGGTAAAAGGGACTTTGCAGATGTGATGATGGGTCCTGAGATGGGGAGGGCATCCAAGATTATCCAGGTGGGCCCAGTGTAATCACCACGGTCCTTCCAGGAGGGACACAGGAGGACCAAAGTCAGTAGCAGGAGACACGAGGATAGAAGCCAGTTTGATGTGATGGGAGAAAGGGGTCTTGAGCCAACGGATGCTGGTGGCCTTTAGAAGCCAAACAAACAAAGGCGAGAAAATAGAGTTTTCTCACAGAACTTCCAGAAGGAACCAGTCCTGGCTAACACCTTGACTTGAGCCCTGGGAGGTGGATTTGGGACTTTTGATGCCCAGACTGTGAGATAACAAGTCCACATTGAAGCCACTAGGTTTGCGATGTGGAGTGACAGCAGCCACAGGAAACTAACACAACAGGAGGGTTGTCATTTGGTGCCACTGAAGTGTGTATGTCCCTCATCGGTGCAACTACCCACAAAACATGGCGGGTTACCTAGCCCCTGAAGCACCCCTTTCA